AAAACCTCGCAGAGTTATTTAAATGGTTTGGCGAAATTTCTGTCAGATCCCGCCGGCGGGACCGCCGACCCCAGAGGAATTTAATATTCTAATCTAATCAGTTAACGGTTAATGTTCGGTTAACGAATGGCGGTTGTCGGTTGGGAAAATTAATCGAAATGAGCATCCCTAGTGGGTAATGCATTCCTCAGAACATACAAACCCAACCGGAAACTTTACTGTAAGCCAATACTTTTGAAGGTAACTGTTACAATTATGGACCCTCTCGCATGCAGTGGTGTCTCTTGCTGTGTGACAATCCCTTATTTTCCCGATGTGCACTGTGAAATTCTGTTGTTTTTTTGTAAACTTCATCAACCTTTCACCTGACCTTTCAGTGCTCAGTGGCATTTTTACCTGTAGTTTGTTTCTGGAATTTTCCCAGGAAACTCTGACAGTATCTGAACACTGCTTAGATTTGTGGCTTTTTTTCCCCACCCCACTGATGGATTGTGGTTGACTTCTGGAAGCCCTTAATTCTGTAAGGCTCAGTTCAGGTTTTGGTTTCACAGGGAATCCTCTAAAATGAAATTGGAACTGTTCATATGAACATGATGAATGCTCTTATCTTTGACATGTTCTCTTCATGCTTTAGGGAAAAAACACTAGTCATTGTTTGGTCGTGAGGCTTTTCCTGCGTGTTCTGATTCCGATAAATCAATTAATTGTCCCAGTGTTAAATGTTGTTTAGAAATGAAAGTTTATTGATCGTTGAAAGGGTGTACTTGCATTAATATGCCATTATCATTACATCAGTTGAAAATCGTCTCACAACGACAATATTATTATCGCAATAATTCCTGGGACAATTTATCGTCCAGCAAAATTTATCGTGACAGGCCTACCTATCTTGAATTTCCATGTCGAAAGAATGTAGCAGTGGTCATTTTCAATGGTGCCTGACTCACCTTTTCCTTATTGTCTTCAGGCTGTTTGTGCCCCTGTGGTAGATTGTCCAAGATAGGCTTCCGATTGTAGCGTTTTTCTCTTTGCCAAGTTGAGCTGGTTTGGCAGCAGAAGAGGACTCTTATTGGGGGTCCCGTACCCCTGGGGGACCTGCTTTATTTCAGCATGTCTCTGCTCAGCTGCAGCAAGTTATAGAAAGGGTTAAGGTCCCTCAAGTTCATTGCACAGATTGAAGGTTCCTGCTTCACTTGACAAAACATGGCAGCTAATTATTTTTCTGCCTGGGTAATTCCTCATGCCGTCAGATGCTCGAGACGGGCAGATTTTTGCAGGGGTTCAGTGTTTTTGTCTGTTCAGCTGACTGCTGGAAACTAGAGCCACAACAGCAGCTATGTCTCAGGCTGAGCTTTTGTGTCCAGGCATTTTTGGATGGAAACTGACTTTGGTAAGACTGGAGTTAGAAATCCTTAATTGGACCAGGAAGGCACAGAACTTGAAGAAAACCATGACTTGTTTTTGGGGATGTTTACTAATAGTTGCTGTTTCTATCCCTCAAAGGTGGTAATTCCTAAACGCCCCCATAAAGCAAGAGGGGCAATGATGATAAATCTATTTAAAACGCTCTTTTCCACTGTATGATGGCAACCATCAGCCCATGCATAGACAGCAAACTGTCCTCCCTCAGCAACCAGCAGCAGCTGCCCTCCCCAGTAAATACTGGGGGAGGCATTTAAGCCTCTGGTGGGTCACTGTTTGTTGTTAACTCAGCCTGCTCTGTTGCATTGTCTGGGAGCTGCATGATCATGTCAGGCTCTGCCTGCAGTTTGTCATGTCATGACGTGTTCTGCTGTGTGACGTTGTGGTTCCTGCTATATCGGGATCCTGATGTTAATCAACAGTTGCCCTTCAAGTTGCCCTTCGAGGAATATCGGATGGCCAGTGCTTAAGCAGCTGTCCTGTTTATAGAAAACCAAGGCAATTTTGCGTCCAAGGCTCCCAGTATGTGTGTGGTACATTTCTCCCAGCAAATGTGGCCGTTCACATGTACCTGTTTTAATGCTTACGATGAGGTGGATGGTTGGTTCAGGTCTGACCACACGGTCCCCAGCCTCAAACTGGCAGAGGCCAGGAACAATCCCCACATGGTGAAGTCTTCCCCAGAGCTGCTTTGTGTGTGTGGGGAGCGTTCCCATAGAAACCAGGCCAGCCAAACAAATTGTTGGCAGCATGAGGCTTTTTTTCCCTCTTGTGAAAAGTTCAGTCCGAGGTGCTGTAGGTATGAGGGGACAATGAAGTCACTTAATTTCAAATGTCAGTAACTGCTGGAGACCTTGGGAATCTCACACTTGTATTTAGTCCTAATAGCTGGAAGTTGCTTTTTTTTTTTTTAAGGAGTCAGCATCTGTAACCCCTGCCCAGTGGTGCCAGTTTGTCTCTCTGCTCTGTCATGCCTTTTGCCTGTTTTTGCTTTATTTGTTATTGTTACTTATGTCCTGGGCTCACATGGCACCCCCCCCCCCACCTTGCTCTCACTCTTCAGGAACGAAACGCAGAAAATGCCATTGAAGCCCTGAAGGAGTATGAGCCCGAGATGGGCAAGGTCTACCGACAGGACAGGAAGAGTGTGCAGCGCATCAAGGCCAGGGACATCGTGCCTGGTGACATCGTGGAGGTGGCAGGTGAGAGGTGCCGTCCTGATGCGGGACTTTCCATACATCACCAGCTCGGAAATCCGTGGAATCGGAAGATGCCGTGTGTCAGACCCGTGCAGGACACTGTCTTAAGCAGTCTTCAGAAACATGCGGGTCGGTGCTCCGGGTTCGCAGAGTGTCTGTGGTTTTGGGTGGGTGGGTGGCACCAGGGTCGTCCCCTTGCTTTTTGGCTGTGGTCGAGTTTACACAAACGCAAAGCTGAGAAGCTCAATGAATGAGTAGGGGCCGCATGCTGACGCAGCACAGATCCGCGGTTCTGCTCCGGCTCTTTGCGACGTTCTGCTGGCACTGACTCTCAGCCTTTGGGGTAACTGCCGTGCTGCCCGCCATTAGCAAAGGCATTGGGATCGTCCCGGAGATGTGGCAGGGACTCGGCACAGGACGGTAGCTGAGCCTGCGGACAGATCTATCGGTCACCCCATGACTTTCCTGGTTTTATGGGGCATGAATATTGATAAAGAAGCCGTCTCTCGATAGCCGGTCATTGCGCTATAAACCCCTTGAGGTTTCATAAGAGCAAACGCGTAGCCGGGGACAGTCACCCTGCAGCCGTGAGCGCAGAGTGTGGCAGCTCTGAGTCACCACACTGCGTCCCCCAATCACCGGCCCTTTGCTGTCTGAATCGAGAGTGTGATGGCTGCTGTAATCCCCTGAAGCTGCTGCTGTACTTCCTGCCCGTCTCCTATTGGTTGGAGCTGCCGTGTACTTATTGGGTCATCAACTCGCTTCGCCCCCCCCCCCCGGCACACGCAGCCCACTGCAGCACTCTGATCTCTCTCCCGCTGTTCCCACGGGTTGCCCAGCCGGGTTCTGTTCGGTCTAATGGTGCAGAGCTGTCCCTCTTGCGGGAAATTGGGACCCAGACGCTCATGAGCTGCGCAACAAAAGGCTGAGCTCTGTGGAAACAGGATACAGCAGTTAAACTTGGGTAGATTGATAAGGCAAACTGTTCTGCCAGCCGAATGGTCGCTGTCATCTCTTGCACCCTCAAAGAGAGTCTGCCTTTTGTACCACCGCACGTCAGCAGCCCAGACTGACCTGACTGGGCCCTCCAGCAGGAATGTGAATGGGACAGAATCTGTCGTCTGTGTAATATAACATACCTAGCGTTCTGTTTACTTGTGTCTGAGGAGTCTTTAGCGAGGCCTGCCGGGGCTCGACTGGGAGACTTTGACAGTAAAACGGCATGAGCATGTAGACAGGAGGGGGACACAATACAGCAGGGCTATTCAACTCAGGCCCTCGATTCCAAATCCAGGCCTTGTTTTCAGTTCTTCCAGGTAGTAGGTTTAATAATTACTGATTCTGATTGGTCAGAGGCTTCACACCTGGCTCACAGGTGAAGGAAGGCTGGAAAACCAGCAGGACTTGGCCCTTGAGGACCGTGAGTTGAATAGCCCTGCAATACAGCGTGAAGGAACAGGGAAATTTACACCGACAATGCATTAAAAAAAATCCCTGTAGGGTATTAAAGGTCAAAGGGATGACCTGACTTTAAAATGTCAGCCTGAAGAATACATGCCGTAATCCATGGGAACAGCCTTCTGGGATTCGGCATCCCAGCCCGGCCGTACGGGCCGATCCCTGTCGTCGTCATCTTCCTCTATTCTCATGTGAAAAGTCTCAACGGACACCAGCCCCGCGGCTGTGGGCCAGTGCTGGGGGCCACGTGTCTTTACTGAGAATTGGGTGCTGCTTCCTGGTGCCAGGCCAGGGTGATGCAATGTGACCTTGCTAGGGTGCAGCGTGCCATTGCTGCAGGGAGGCTGGGCGCTCGCCAAACTTAAACATCCCAGAAACATGCTGCGCTGATACGGCTGAGCGTCTTGAATACCACGAGCACCTCAGCTCGGGTCCGAGAGGCCGGGCATGGACGTTCGGCGCGTCTAGTCGGGTCTGTTGGACGCGGCACTGCATCAATTATCAAGCCCCATTGACTGCCACAGGAAGTGTTGTGTAACTCGAGGGGAAACTTGCACTCCGCCAGTGCTATAAGCCCTCCCCGCTTCCCCCTGTGCTCTCGCCTCGCAACCACAGCTGGCTTTCAAACAGAGTATTTTTAAATCTGAGGACAAGGCACAGCTGCATCTACTGACTCGCTGCATCTGGCACATCAGCCCCCCCCCCCCCCCCCCCCCCCCCCCCCCGAAATGCTAGAGCCGGTGTCACTGTTCTCCAGGCTGCTCTCACGGAACAAGGCTGCACCCATATCGACGTGTGACCTTCAGGAAGCCCGCTTCAGCTTCTGGGGAACTTTTTGGAAAGGTTTTTGGGAAACAGTTCAGGGGGCAATAAATAGAGATTTTCCCTGGGTGTGTTTCTGTAACTCCGGAGACAGGTGCCCCCACACATACCCCCCTTCTTGTAGCCTTGTGTATTGCTCATGTACCCCATAATCCTTTGCAGCTTGACCTTCCTCAGGGCCTGTATCTATTGGTCAGCATAGATTTTTTCCCAGTATTTGACCTGTGAAACCTACCAATCAATCACCTGACAGTCTGACTCACCAGTGTCCCATACTTCCTGTGCTCTGTAGTGCAGCAGCAGTGACGCACCTTGGTGACACTCCAACCCTGAGCCCCCCCAAGTAACATAAAGCAGATCAAATGTCCACTCCGAACCATTTATGTAAGACTTTTAGGTAAAATATCGTAAAAAAACAAATTTGTCAGAATCTCTCTGACAATTTCCTTACGGTTCTGTCATTCCCTGTTAAAGCGGTAAGAGGTGTGACATCAACTAGTTATATATTCTCCCACAAGAAATGAGCAAATCTGAAGAGAGAATCTCACTCTGATGCATGTAAACGGAAAGAGAGGCCGGAGGAATAGCAGAGGAAAGACCCAGAACTATGTCTGTTTGATCCTGTATGACAAACTTGTTGCTGGCCTAGTAAGTCTGAGGGAGTCATTTCAACGAATGGCACTAATGTTAGCTCTTCAGAGGATACATTTACTGCCATCAAAATTTTATTATGCAGCAAGATATTAATATAATGGGGGCCCTGAGCATCCCCAACCCCAGAACAAAACCTTTCCCCTCCCCCTCACTCCACTATATGTCACTTCTGTCTCTCGCAGCCCCAAACTGATGAGGGTTTATTGGTACTTTTAATTACCAGTTTCCCCTGATGTTATTGGAAAGAATGAGAGAGATTCTATTTTGGTCTCCTGCTGGGGTCTAATTGCACTTGCAAAAAATGTTGTATGTTTTGATTATTCCTCTATGAAACAGGTTCCCACCAAGTTCAATGCTCTGCTTTTTTTTTTTCTTTTCTTTTTAAATTGGTGTACCGGTTTTTGTATGTGGGGGCGGAGGGACTGTGATTCTCTGTTAAGATTCCATTGACGATTGTGCCTCATTACTGGGACTCAGAGACCGAAATGATCATGTAACCATATAAGGCACAGCTGAACAGTGCCTGTCCCCTCTGACAGTGTGGTGCTTATGTGAGACTCTCACCGAGTACAGGAAGACAAGCCCCCTGCGCCCCTTATCGCGTGCCATAGGGTGGTTCGTAACTGAAGCTGAGTCAGTGCTGGTCACAGCTCAAGTCGAGCCTGCAGAGTCGGATCCATACAGCACATTGAGCTGTGGGTCTGGCCTGCTGACAGGTCTTCTGACCCCTTAGGGCCGCAGGATTCTCTGGTCTCCTCTACTTACTCAGGCATCCAAACTTTGTACTCTGAGACCCAGTCCTCCATGTCTTCATTAGGTTTTTTTTTTTTTCTTTTCTGTAAGTAGGTTTAGAGGTAAAATTTTCAGGTGACTATTTTGTATGGATACACTTCTAAAAAGTGGATGAAGGTGGCAGGGAAAGATTTGGGGGGGGGGTGCAAAAACGGGAGAATGCGGAGGATGGAACCAGGGTGGCAGGGGGCTAGGAGATCACAGTGCATTTGTATAGCAGAGTTGTGGTCTGTTAGTGTCCCCAACTGTTTGCTTAATGGCTAATTATTCCTCATTACATTCCACAGGAAGCACATCACCTTTAACACCTGCTCTTTATCTCTCTCTTCACCCCAGTTGGAGACAAGGTCCCTGCAGACATTCGTCTCACTTCAATCAAGTCTACAACGCTGAGAGTGGACCAGTCCATCCTGACAGGTGATTGGTTGGCTGCTTCCTCACTCATCAGTGCTTCTTTGCTGTCGAACTCTTCTTCCCCTAATAGTCTTGGAGACTCCAGATTTCTCTCGTAACCCCACAAAATATCACGTGAGCATTTCAAGGGTCAGAAGAACAAGGTGAAAGCCCTCCTTCATAAAATGGAATGACAAGCACCTGTCCCTCTCTTTGGGTTCCCTGGCAATGGACTGATAAGGGTAGCTTGCTTAAGGAGTTAATGTGATGTGCAGGTGCCATGTAAATGCATGTATCAGTCTCAATATGATGCTGGCTGACTGTTAAAATATGTAGCTGGAAATAGATGGCAGCTTATTTTTAGAGTGATGTGACGGGCAGATCCCTGTGTGGGTGGTTCATGCTAATCTGTTCATTTTTAGCTTGTTTTCTTTGGTCATGCAAAATTCAGTCCCTGGTCTCCCTGCTACAGCCTCATTGATATGCACCCAGGCAACACCCGTCCGAGTTGCCCCTCTGACACGTTTCTGATTTGCTTTCGCAATCGGTGCCGCCGCTCTCTTGCGTGGACCGATGACGCTGGGATTAGCGCGCTGGCGCGAGGGGAGCGGCCGTCCTCTGTCCCGCTGTGCCGTCAGCGGGAGCCGTGGCTGGGGCCCAGACTCGCACGCTGAGTCACTGCGAAGTCAGGAAGGTTCTTTGGAAGCACAGAATCACATTAGTGCAGGATTCATCCCTTCATTTTATTTGACTCAGATGTGTAATTTTTTGGTATCATAGCATAACATATATAAAAATACTTGCAGCGTCCAGCTCAAAAATATCTGCACAGGCGCATCAGCTGAATAACTGAAACTTCAAGCACTAACTCCACCGCCACATTTGGGGGGGGAGGGGCTTCAGGGAAACCTCCTCCTACTGTGGGAATGACAGGACCATATCCTCTGGGTGACCCAGTATGAACCTGAAACTTTCTCCTCACCACTTCATTCTTGGGATATTCATCTCTCATGACAGACTGTGTGTAGATATACACACACCACTGTTAGAATGTGCTGACGGTCCTGGTCTCTGAGACATGGATGTAAGCAGTCTATGTGAATTTAAGCATGATGTCCTTCAGCATTTCATGGTGTGCTAGTGCCAGAGGGGCATCAGGCTGGCTTGTGCCCACTCTTCACAATCTCCTTTCATCACAACTTTTCAGGAGAGTCCGTGTCTGTCATCAAACATACGGACCCTGTCCCAGACCCCCGTGCGGTCAACCAGGACAAGAAGAACATGCTGTTCTCAGTGAGTATCTGCAGCCCCCCCCAGCCCCTTTCCCAGCCTCTGCTTGCTTCTGCTGTTTTGGCCATTATTGGTAGGAAATAACTCCAAATGAGCCATGATTGGTCCACAAAAACAAGTCCCGCCTCACATTTGAGGGAAGCTCCGCCCAACCCAGTTCCAACTTTCTCTTTTTTTTTATTTCCCCCAGCCTGCAGCTGTCATGAAATACTGATCAGTGCCCTCAGACTTCTGCAGTGTCGTAATTAGCTGTCACACAGCTACGTATGAGAGAAAGTCAGCCATTGAATCAGAGTCCTCAAGCTGGTGTGGGAGACATTAAAGCCCGAGAGTCTCTCTACCAATCACCTGTAGTATCCAGAGGATGAGGGCTGTGAGGTGCTTGCATGCGGCGTGGTACGGCCTGTGCTCTAAAGGCAGCTTATTTCTGCAGCCGAATGCAGAATCCTTCTGAGGTCAGCCTGTATGTATGCAGGCTCTTTTTGCAGATAAAGGACGTTGATATTTGGAAATTTTTTTAGAGGCCGGGTTGCTCATCTCGGGCCCATTGGTCTGCCTTATGGGGTGAGGGCTTCCTGTTCGCGGTATGCTCACTTTAACCCAGATCTGCGTTCGCCCTGCCATCGCTCCGTTCTTACTACGCCTGCTGTGAGCAGAGGCAGCAAAGCACTAGTGAGAGGTTATTACACCTGTTTCTGTGTAACTGTTATTTCACCTGTTGTCCCCCCCCCCCAGGGCACGAACATCGCCGCAGGCAAGGCGGTGGGTGTTGTGGTGGCCACGGGTGTGAACACTGAGATCGGTAAGATCCGCGACGAGATGGCCTCCACGGAGCAGGAGAAGACGCCGCTGCAGCAGAAGCTGGATGAATTCGGCGAGCAGCTCTCCAAGGTCATCTCGCTCATCTGCATCGCCGTGTGGATCATCAACATCGGCCACTTCAACGACCCGGTCCATGGCGGCTCCTGGATCCGCGGGGCCGTTTACTACTTCAAGATCGCGGTGGCGCTGGCAGTGGCGGCCATCCCAGAGGGCCTGCCCGCCGTCATCACCACCTGCCTGGCGCTGGGCACTCGCCGCATGGCCAAGAAGAATGCCATCGTGCGCAGCCTGCCCTCAGTAGAGACCCTGGGGTGCACCTCTGTCATCTGCTCCGACAAGACGGGCACCCTCACTACCAACCAGATGTCTGTCTGTAGGGTGAGACTCCACCTGTTTGTTGGGGGAGGGGCTAATGTGGCCACACCCCTTTTAAAGAAAATCTTATAATTTAAGCTGTTTGTCACTCGTATATTAGGGTTTGACTATCCTGAACTAGCGATAAGCAGCCTGGGTCACCGAATGATGCACTATGACAGTCCAGAAAGACTTAGAAGCACAAATTGACAGTTGATTAGCTATGTCTGTAATTTGTAATTGGCGTTCGCTTAGCACAGCCTGCAGTCTCTTTACTTGTGGAAAAGGAATCGTTCTGCTGCCATCTGGAACGCCAGGGTGTTTGGTAAACGGGTGCAGATGAATCATTAATTTTGCTGTATGCCTCGCACTTGTTGTCTCTCCATCCCGCTATCCTCGCCGTTCACCTCTCTCCCCCTGCCACTTGCAGCAGTCTGGCTCCTCCTCCACTACTCCCTCCCTTCCCTTTCCTTTTTTTTCCCTCTCATCAGTATTCAGCAGTCAGGTTACTTGCAGTTGTTACATAACCGACCTTGTGTTGGTTGGGCCCTCTTGCTGAAAGGCTGGCTGCCCCCTCATTAGATGGGGGGGGGGGGTGGCTTATTAGACATTGGCAGGATCTGTTGTGCTGCCACCTTTTGAACATCCTTGGAGCTGCTCTGCATTTTGTCTAACTTTAATGTGTGGTTAGCCGTCCTGACGCTCAGTTGCTAATACAGCAGCACAATCTGACTGACCACCTGAGTTGGGGACACACCCCCTGCTGTGGTATGCATTTATCCACCTTGGCTGACGTGGTCATGCTTTGAAGTCCCTTCAGAAGCCATGGGGAGGGCATTTTTTTTCGGTGATGTGGTTCTTTTGTTATATGGGGCATTTCTGCGGCTCGTGAAATATCGTCCATCAGAAGGACCTGCTGACGTTGATTGTGCACTGTTATAATTCCAGTCAGGTGTTCCTGACAGAAGTGTTTGCTTTTGTCAGCCTCACACTGAGACTGCCCCCTCCCCCCACTTCCTCTGGCCTTATAGAGTGGCGGCCATGCTGAAGCGCATCTGGGCAAACTATGGTGTTGTCTGCTGCCACCTAGTGGGTCGGCAGCCCAATAGCATTACATGGTTCTCAGACTGTTTGCTTATTTTCGTCTCAGCCCTTCTTTCTGGGGTCGTTACCAAATCTTAAAAATCCAAAACCGAAACGATGCAGAGAATTTAAGAGTTCAAGTTAGAGTCTGTCTCATGAACCCAATGAACACCTGGGATCGGATTTAGGCACCTGTCCCCCCCGCCCCCTCCATGCTGAAAACCTGCTTTCTTCTTTGTGTTTCTTGCAGATGTTCATCATAGACAAGGTGGAGGGCCAAAGCTGCTCTCTGAGTCAGTTCACAGTGACCGGGTCCACGTACGCCCCCGAGGGGGAAGTGTGAGTATCGCCGCAGCTGGCTGCCCCCCTCCCTCCATCACTCTCTTGTTTTTCTTGGTTTAACTCTGAGTAGATACTGGGCTAACTGGTACAGAGCCTGTCTCTCAGCTTTGGAATCTCTTCTTATGGATACTGGTCTTCTGTCATTTTTCTGCTACCCATCAGAATGTGCTACCTGGAGGGATTGTGCATTCAGAGCCAGTAACATGTAGTGGATCCAAATCTGGAACACCCACCCTGAATTTTGGGCCACCTTACATCAGCCTATATTGTAGGATTACAGTTGAGGGATTGTGGTTATTGTCCATGTACTGAAGAAAATTAAAATGTAATTATGAATAATTTCACTAATGCAAGGTACATGCGTGCCTGTTTTTGTGAACTAAAATAATGCTAGTTGGTTTGCATTCATTGATTTCCATATTTATGATGAATTCAGTGTCATCTTACAAAACTGGAGAACTATTTGGCTACTTTGTTGCGAATCAGTAACAGTCATCTGTACTTGCATCGAATATTCCTCTTGATGTGGTTTTTGTTTTCAGCATTTCACTAACCACCATCATGAGAAGAGAACTTCATCTCACAGTAGGGCTGCTCGATATCACATAGCAATATAATTGCAATTATATGGCACATGTGCAATAATCACTAGGGCTTTAGATGACAGGTGTTAACATTTGGGTGGATGCCAGCTTTTTGGTACTATACAGATGTTTGCTTATGCCCACAATTTGATAAGCAGATTAGTAGTGCACCTAAAATTAGTCATCTATGAATTCAGCATATCCTTATCTTTAGTAAACTTGTGGGACTTTAAACTGCAAAGTTCCACCACGACACCCAATTATTTTTGTTTTTGCTATCTTATGGGCATCTCAGTATGCATCTCAATATTTTAGGCATACTCTTAATCTGCCCGTAAGTAAACATCCATATAGTACCAAAAAAATGGCATCCGGACACATGTTTCACCCATCATCTAAAGCAGTGTTTCTCAAGCTAGTCCTTGGGGAGCCCCAGATGGTCCAAGTCGCTTCCTCCCAACTTTCAGGGTACTGGGAGAGAACAAAAAATGTGGACCATCTAGAGGGGGCTGAGGACTGATTTGAGAAACACTGATCTAAAGCCCTGGTCATTATTGTGCATGTTCCATATAATCACGAGTACATCGCGCTGTGATATCATGCAGCCCTACGTCACAGCATGTTCTGTGTATGGTAGCAGAATCTGATATGGCAACAAAAAAAACAGTTATGACCACTGACAGCTACTGTGGGTGTCGACTTTATAAATAGACTAAAGGAGGTGTTTAACATCAGACAGGTTTCTACTAGATCTAACTACTTGGACCGTGTTTGCTAGCTAGCCTCTGGTAGCTACTAACATTGCACCGTAATGCAACCAACTAGCGTTTTTGTTCCACTGTAATTGAACATAAACTGCACTTAAAATTCCTTCTTCAGCTGTTCATTTGGAAATCAAAAATAAAACGAGGTCTAATGTGACAGTGTAGGTTCAAATGTGACATCAATATTGTAGTATCTACAGCTCAGCACATCAATGTGACATCATCTAGTATCTTCAGTATTTTAAAAGAAAGTGCCTAATGTCATGGTGGCATCATCTGTCAATGGAAGGAAATTCTGACAGGGCAGCAAAAACTGACAAGACTCCAGGACCTGAACACCAGATAAGCTGTTCCATGGTACCCTGGTATTAAAAACCAACACTAAAATGTACAGATATGTATGATCTTATTGGCAGATATCAGAATGGCGTTCCTGTGAAGTGCTCAAAGTACGATGCCTTGGTGGAGATGGCCACGATCTGTGCCCTGTGCAACGACTCCTCTCTGGACTACAACGAGGTGCGAGTCAGGTCTGAGCGCCGATATGAAGTCGGAGCAACTCTTAGCATGTCTCACAAGAACAATCTGCTCATCAGTGATTGGTTCAAAGCATCCGGATGGGATTAGTTCCGCTGCAAAATGATTGGTTGTTAAAACCGAACTAAAGAGAGGGTGTGTGTTCCTCAGGTCAAGGGCGTATACGAGAAGGTGGGTGAAGCAACAGAAACTGCCCTCACCTGCCTAGTGGAGAAGATGAACGTATTTGACACTGACCTCAAAGGCATGACCAAGATTGAGAGGGCCAATGCATGCAACTCGGTGAGTGCTTCGCCTGCAGTCCTTGGGGATGGTGCTTTCAGCCCATTTAAGTGTTTAAATGGTGAAGGCAGAGCTTTCTTCTGTGTCTATGCAATGGTTCAGTTTGGAACTAAATTTGCCCCCTTTTCTGTAATGACTTTTTCTGTCAGCCTTTTTTTTCTCTTGTGCTTCAAATTTGACTGAAAATTTATAGTTTTTCAAAAATGGATTGTTGTCAGGTGGTAAAACAACTGATGAAGAAGGACTTCACCTTGGAGTTCTCCAGGGACAGGAAGTCCATGTCTGTCTACTGCACCCCCAACAAAGCGCGCTCCTCTGTGGGCAAGATGTTCGTTAAGGTACTGTGAATCCCTTGCCTAGACCATGGCAGTTTCAAAGGCTGCGACCTCAAACCTGAAGTGGCTGATGATCGCACTGTCAACCAGAGTTACACCATGCTATAACTGTCCCCATAACAAGCAGAACCCATCTACTGAAAGCATCTTGTCTTTCTCGTTGGGGGTTCTTATGTGGTTGATGGCATAGACGGGTGTGAAATATTCATGTCCTGTTTCGGGAACAGGACGGGTCTTTGAGTAGGTTCTCATTCTGAGCATTGACACCTCCTAGGGTGCACCAGAGGGAGTGATCGACAGGTGTACCCACATCCGGGTGGGTAGCGACAAGGTGCTTCTGACCCAGGGCATCAAGGACAAGATCCTGTCGGTGATCCGGGAGTACGGAACCGGCCGGGACACGCTACGCTGCCTGGCGCTGGCCACCCGTGACAATCCTCCGCGCAAGGAAGCCATGGTGCTGGAGGATTGTGCTCGCTTCACGGAGTACGAGGTGGGGGTCTGAGCGCAGGACTGATCTCTGCCTGGTAGCATGGGAGTGGGGGGCGTCTTGTTGTGGTCTGAGGTGGTTTTGTGCACTAAGTGTTTCAGCCAAGCCTTTTGTGCCCATAACCCTCAACCCATAAACTGTTCCGCCCAGCAGATCCCTAATTTACCTTCCTGGTGAGAGGTCTGGCGTTAAGAAATCATGAAACATGAACCTGTATGCCTTGAAAGTTGTGTGGTTGCAGCTGTGCAGCTCTGAGTTGAGGGTAGTACACAGATGCATGCTGGGTAACAGAGTTCTATATTGAAACTATAAACTAGGAGCACCCCTATGAGTCTAAACATTGCATCATTTTTTATAGTCCAGGCATGTGTGAGTTAGTGGTGCTCAGGTTTGTGGGTGTTGCTGGTAAACTGGAAGGAAGTTTCCATAGTTACATGTAACCCGACTCCCCGCAGACGGACCTGACCTTCGTCGGCTGCGTGGGCATGTTGGACCCGCCGCGGTCGGAGGTGGCAGCCTCCATCAAGCTGTGCCGGCTGGCCGGAATCCGGGTCATCATGATCACTGGGGACAACAAGGGCACCGCGGTGGCCATCTGCCGGCGCATCGGCATCTTCGGCGAGGACGAGCATGTGGGCGACATGGCGTTCACGGGCCGCGAGTTCGATGACCTGTCGCCGCAGGCGCAGCGAGAGGCTGTGCTCAAGGCGCGCTGCTTCGCCCGTGTGGAGCCTTCCCACAAGTCCAAGATCGTGGAATTCCTGCAGTCCTATGACGAGATCACCGCCATGGTGAGCCGCCCAGCCGTACATGGGGAAACGGAACTGCATTCGTGTACGAGGATCACATGTCCTGTCCACGGTGCCCCTGCCTCACATGCCGTTCTCCGGTGTAGGTTCTTGGCCGCCACAAACCTTCACGAGTGTTGGCTTAGTTGGAACAATAGACTGAATTTCTCTCTGCTGTAAAATGCATCCAGCTTATCGAGACCGAATGAAAAGTCCCAGGAAGCCAATCTGCTCATGACGGAGTTTCACGCCCCTCCGTGCAGTTGCTAATCTCCTGGCTTTGCGCTCCATGTTCCCTGGTAGACAGGCGATGGCGTGAATGACGCCCCCGCCCTGAAGAAGGCGGAGATCGGCATCGCCATGGGCTCCGGCACTGCCGTGGCCAAGACCGCCTCCGAGATGGTGCTGGCCGACGACAACTTCGCCACCATCGTGGCGGCCGTGGAGGAGGGCAGGGCCATCTACAACAACATGAAGCAGTTCATCCGCTACCTCATCTCCTCCAACGTGGGCGAGGTCGTCTGGTGAGATCCCTCAACAAACGCCTCTTCCTTCTGCAAAATTATTGGGTTTAGGTTCTGTGCTGAGCTGTAGCACTCAGGCCGACTATGCCTGGGTGCTGAAGGTTGGCTGCCGATATGTCCTGTTCGAGCAGTATTTTAAATGTTTGCTGTTGTATGGATAGTGAAACTGCAATGAGAGTGGGACTTGGCTGAGGAGAGCGCTGTTTTGAGAGGATTGTCTCTATGGTGACAGCATCTTCCTGACGGCGGCCCTGGGCTTCCCCGAGGCCCTCATCCCCGTGCAGCTGCTTTGGGTGAACCTGGTGACTGATGGCCTGCCCGCCACCGCCCTGGGCTTCAACCCCCCTGACCTGGACATCATGAACAGGCCCCCCCGCAATGCTCGTGAGCCCCTCATCTCAGGCTGGCTCTTCTTCAGATACCTGGCCATTGGAGGTAATCTTCCTGTCTGGGTGCTTGGTGCGAGATGTTTGTGTTGAAGTTTTCACTCCTGTATCCTTTTCTTTCCCCATTCCTATTCTATGTCCACATTCCCCTTCTCGCTTCCTATGTGTTACAGCACCCCCTGCTGGTAGGCAGCGGTAATCCATGTTTGTGCTTCTACATTTTTTTTAATTTTTTTTATTCACTCCCAGGGTATGTGGGTGCTGCCACAGTGGGTGCTGCTGCTTGGTGGTTCATTGCTGCTGAGGATGGGCCCAGGATCACCTTTTACCAGCTGGTATGTTGGGTGCCCCCCCTCCTCCCCATAATGGCTACAATCTCTGTACTGAGCCAGAGAATTCATGCATGGTTGTTGAATATAACCCACAGTCGCTACCCGTCCCGTTTCAGAGCCACTTCCTGCAGTGTAACCCAGAGAATTCCGAGTTCAAGGGCCTGGACTGCAGGCTGTTTGAGTCACCCTATCCCATGACCATGGCCCTGTCTGTGCTGGTGACCATCGAGATGTGCAATGCTCTCAACAGGTTGGTGTAGAAGGTGGGGGGGGCCACCTGAAGTGCTTCAGAGTCAGAGGTCAGACTGTGGAAAATTAAGGAAGTCCTATCAAGCACCAAATTAAGCAGCAAGTTTACTTGTTGTATTACTGCTTGGGATCTGAGTGATTCAGCCAGATGATGCTGACCTTGAAATGACCTTCAGAGTGGGTTCTAGCTTGTGTGCCCGTGTGTGTTTTGGCAGCCTGTCGGAGAACCAGTCCCTGCTGCGTATGCCCCCCTGGGAGAACGTGTGGCTGCTGGGCGCCATCTGCCTTTCCATGTCCCTGCACTTCCTCATCCTCTACGTAGAGCCGCTGCCGGTAAGGTCTCACCTGTGGATCCGTGCCGACGGTTGTGTGGCCGGGGCAGTTGGGTGCTGAAGGGGCCCTACTGAAACGCCACCACACACCTATGTACATTGCTATGTATGCATGATGGTTAACCCCATTCAGCTGTATGCATTTGAAGACCTGTAACAGTGTGTATGAGGTGTAATGTAGTTCCGTATCTGAGTATAGTTCAAGTAAAATGTAAAAAGCTTTTTAAAATGCTACTTTTTAGCAGGGTCACACAATTTTGATATCAAGCAGTGTTTCACAACCAGAGCTGCAGGTGTTTCACAACCAGAGCTGCAGGTGTTTCACAACCAGAGCTGCAGGTGTTTCACAACCAGAGNGTGTTTCACAACCAGAGCTGCAGGTGTTTCACAACCAGAGCTGCAGGTGTTTCACAACCAGAGCTGCAGGTGTTTCACAACCAGAGATGCAGGTGGTCCACGTTTTGCTTCCACACAGCTCCTGGTAGCAAAAACGTGGACCATCTGACGGTCCCCAAGAACCAGTTTGCGAACCTTTTAAAGCCTATTAGGAGCTTTCACACTGAAGTTCCAGAACTCGGTACCTGTTTGCACGTTGCTAGGCTGCCCGTACGGGGAACTTTCGTAGTTCCTGGCTGCTTGTCTGCCTGTTTATCACTTTCACGCCACACGAGAGAAACTGGGACCTTCAGGCTAAATTAGCATGGGACATGCAAAAAGTTCATAGGTTAAACCTCAAACAGTTTCATATGAAAGTACAACCCCCACCCTAAAACAATGGAGGATGAACAAGTCATTTGTTAGACATATGGGGGTTGGGGATTGGTGGCAATCAAGGCAGGACACAGCCTTTTATTTACATTTTACTTGTATGACAGTGACACAATCACGATTCTTTATTAAATCTGGCTAGCAAATCACTCTTATTTATTCAGTGTGTGGGGGGGCGGAGATTAAGTAAAATTATCTTTGGCAAGTTTGGCACTGGTGAAATTAGAGAAAAGTATTACGGTAGTTAGCATTCAAAGTTTCTGATGCTGCTACATGGAGACTCGCAAAAAAGTGTTTATTAATGCATTAAATGTGGTTGTGGAACAAAAGTATTCTATCTTCAGTTTCTGCTCCACTCCTACCATCATTTCCTCACATTTCCACATAACTTTTAAAGGGAACGCTGGTGCTTGTGGTCAAACTATCAGCCAGCTATCCCTGTAAGTGCCGCCTCAGTAGTTTGTGTATGAATGAAAAGTACCTTTTCTGGAGTAGGTACTAAAAAGGGTTCTGGAACTGCCTCCAAGGAACTATAATCGGGCCCAGTTCCTGTGACGTGAAGATGACAGAAGTTCCTGGTTCTGGGAATGGTTCTAGTTCCTGAAAAAAGTTCCTGTGGTGTGAACACGTCAGTCGTCAGCATGTTAACAGCACACCCTGTCTCCCCTCCCACCCCACCCAGATCATTTTCCAGATCACCCCTCTGAACACCACTCAGTGGCTGATGGTGCTGAAGATCTCTATGCCCGTCATCCTGCTGGACGAGCTGCTCAAATTTGCAGCCCGTAACTACCTGGAGCCTGGTAAAGAGTTGGAGAAGCCAGCCAAGGGCTGCTCACTCTCCAGCTGGACCCAGGGCATCTCCTGGCCCTTTGTGATCTTCACCTTCCCCCTGGTGCTCTGGATCTACAGTACCGACACTAACCTGTCCGACTTGTTCTGGTCTTGACTGACATAAGTGTGTGGTTCTCTGCTGTGTGTGTGTGCGTGTGTGTGTCTGTATGCGTGTGTGTGTTTCCATGCACGTTAGGGTGGCAATTAACATGCACCCAAATGCTTAAAAATAATAATAAACTAATTGGTAATAGGGCAAAACAAGAGCCCTGTTGATATTGTACATGTAAGCATCCCATCGCTTAAGGGCGTTTTGATTTCATTTTGAGAATTTGTTCCTGTTTTGTTTTGTTTTTGGTATTGCCTTTTTAAATTGGTATTTTATAATCTGGGATTATGATTTGTCCTATTACCTGACATCTTGTTTCAGAACAACTGTAGTAGCCCCTTTACATACAGGTAACATATTTAAAAATTGTCCAATGAAATGTACAGAAATGTTAACACTATTTTATGCATTTTTTTTGTAGTTTTGGAAGGGAGGAAAGGGTGGAGTGACTGAACAGAAATGTTTACGGTTGTCTTTGGTCTGAGTTTTGAATTCTTAAAGTTTATGGATAAACGATGGAGAAACCAGTGGTGATTTTCGGAATGGATGTTTTGAATGCATCAACTAAAAAAGGAAAGGTTTCCTCACACGAATGCTGCATGCTTTCTGTTCCTGCATGAATGAACTTGTGCGTTTTCATCCAATCAGATGTTTTTCAAAGTGCCCCCCCCCCACTGTGCTTATTTTCACACTTCTCACTTTAAGCCAGTTTTTTTTTTCTGCACTAGGCAGAACGCAGCTACCTCAGTTCAATATGGCTCATTCCTCGCCCCCACCGCTCCCCCCCTCAGCCATGGAGAAACTGGCTCTCATTGCGTTTCATCCGATATGTGCTGCAGGAGGTCTGCCCCCCCCCACTGCTTGTGCAGAAAAAAAAGGTTGTCCTTGCTCATGGTTTAAAATGGGCTCCTGTATGTTCTCATCTGTTTATTTTCATTCCCCCTTGGGCGGGGGGGGTGGCAAGGGTTAGATTCAAAAGCGTCTCATTGAAAATGTCAGTGTCCACCATTGAAACAACATGAACACAACGCATCTCCGCCTTTCCCTGTCCACCCCCCCCGCCCTTTCTAAGTGTACCCTTCGGCTTGGGACCGAAGGGTCTTATTTGTGATTGTTTCTTTAAGGAATCATACGTGCATTTATATATATCTATACTTGAATATACATTGATACATACTGATTGTTCAATCAGCAGAGCACAAAGTTAACTCTGGGCCAGTCCGGGCTCGGTGCCCTTCTCCAGGTCGAAAGTATGCCAGCCGTGTGGTAGAGCAGTCTGTAAATCTGTACATACTACATTTCACCAAATAGTACAGTACCTGTTTATAGGAGTCTTGGGGCATCTGTGCCACCCCGTTACACCCTCCCCTAAGGCAGGGGTCAGACCACCTCAGACCACCTTGCATGCCCTGTGCCGGCGCCCTTCCGGGAGATTTCTCCAGTGGGATTTCCTTAACCCAGGCTACCTGTGCTCTTTCCCTTCAATGCTTTCCAGTGAGATCCCTTAAGAGTGAGTACCCCCTTCTGGCATG